AACATCACGCCCAATTTTAATGTAATAGATTGGCACACATTTGAGAGTAAAGACATTTCATATATTGATTTTAAAGTTAACTGTTATGAATTTTAAATAATGACCATTCAGCAAATAGTTTTGCACTATTTATAATCCAAGATATCTAAGCAGATGTACCTAATAAAATATAAATATACTTATCAAAAAGTTCCTCAACACTTTCGCATACATGGAAAGAAAAATGGAATACAATACCTTAGGAAGTTAAGAATACCCACTCTTTCTCGGTCTAACTGATATTCCGAAGAAAGAAAGAAAGCAACATTATCACTACTCGCTCACATATAAGCATTTACCACCGGTTTCAATAAACTTTACTTTGCACTAAAAGGGTTTATGAATTGCATGTTGTATTATTTGGGTAACATATCATCACAATATGAATTATTTCAGATCGATCCTGCTCAGATAAATGATACTGTTAGTCAAACATCTTAACATACTGTTATTTTCTTTTAATTATTTGATAAAGAACGCATTAGTTTCGTTTTCAAATGTGTATGGATATTGATAAGGAAATTCTTATGGAAATACGTCTGATGTTCTGGTTATATCATTCGTAAAGAATTTAAGCAAAGAACTGTTAAAATAACGCATATACACACATTTGTTGTGAGGGAGGATAGTTTGTCAGCTGTACTAAATATTTTTAAAATGTTAAACGTTTTGAATTTCTTTTGTTACAAGTGGAAAAAATTTGCTGATACGATTAGAAAAAGGTATGAGTTACACATTCACCTAAATCTTATAATTGATTCCGAAAAATAGAAAAAGATTATTTAGTCCCTGAAACTAGTTCATAATAATATTGATACAAGAATAGCGTCACGGGCGAATAATTGTATAAGAAGATCGTAAACTAATGACAAAAGATAATTGTGTTAAGGACAACGCACCAAAAATAATAAGAACGAATATTGTTATATTATATTGAATATTGTTAAATTGTTTGACAGTAACGGACTCGTACATATTACATGGCTGCCATGAACGACATACGATAAGCATCATCATATCAAATGTTGTCATGTCTTAATTTACTTATATAGTCATCATGTGATTAAACATTTACCCATTGACATATGAAAGATAATTGTACAACATCAATATCAAACATACACATTACTATAAACACGCCATTAATATTACGTTCACAGTAGCATCAACATTGTATGCACATTGTACAATATCATCGTCGTATCATACATATTATTGTCTGATTTTATTGACCTGTCAATTATGAATACATTAAAGCACTCATTTAAATATTCGACACCTCTTCGGTTTGGTCCGTGTAGTTTACGAGAATTAATGTGGAGTATATAAGTCATGTTTTGAAAGTCAGGCCGGCTTAATGTGAAGGTTTTCGTTAATTCGCAATAGTGCAGTCGGTTAAGAGCATGCCTGATAATTGAGAGGTCTGTGGTTCGATCCTTACTGATGAAATTCTTTTAGGCTTTACTCTCTCTTTATTTTTGCAGTATATTTTAATGGGACCGATTTGTAGTGTGTTTTACGGCATTGAAAAGACAATTATTGGTTTCAATCCGTTTTAATTTTAAACGTGAATTCTGAAAACATGTTATTTAAAAAGAGTTTAGACTTTACAAAATAAAGCAAAACATAATAAAACAAAACGAACAACATAAGAAATAATCATGTGAAGCTTTAATAATGTTGAAAGTATTAATAAGAATGAAAAAAACATGGACCAACGCGGTCTCGAACTTAAAACATCTATGACACTTAGATTACAAACTCGTGCTTTACCCTATTGCGCTATAACGATCAGTACACTTAGTTCATAGATACAAATTAAATTAAATTCCATCGTACAACGTACATCTCACGGAACTTTCCGAAAATCTACCGAAAATTAATATATTGTGTGCATCGACCGTGTAATCAGTATGTAATTGACAGGTTAATAAAACCAAACAATACGCAGTACCATTTACAAGTCATTCAAGACACACAAAATCATCATCAGTTTACGCATATGTTACTAAATTACATTTGCATGTCACACATTTTACAAATCAGCATGTTATATATGCAACTCAAAACCATTATCATATACGGCTCGTATATTACCAAATACCATCAGCATGACCCATAATTATGCTTTGTTATACCATAAGAATGTCATACATGTTACTCAAAGCCAACATAGTGATGTACATATGTTGCAAAATACCCTATAAGTGCAATACCTACCACGAAATACTCGAGTAACACAATGCCCTACATTAACATGTCATATATGAAATAGCATTAAAATGTCATATGACACAATTAACATGCCATAGAAATGTCATATAATGTTACATTTCACCACTAACATGATATACTAGTATGAAATAGCAGCTACATGTCGTTTAATGTTAAATTACACCACAAACATGTTATGTATGCGAAATAGAATAAATGTGCCGCATAATGCTTAATAACACTATTAACATGATAAATATACACACATATACATACACATTAATGTACACATATACGTATATACATATGTATACACACGTACGGTTCGGTGTTGTGCAGCATAAATTTCGATATACAAGCAATTTTAAACCGTCAAATAAAAATATTAACCAAAATAGAGTAATGATAAATATTCTCATCAGTATGTAAAACAAATATAACCTCGTCAAAGCTTGATATTAATTACAAAAAGTGTCTCCAACATACTACTCCCTTTCTCCTGTTTACATTTGTTAGGTACGAAAGCATACTTCATGTAGATCTACAGACGTCATTTTGGGGTGAAGTGGCACCTTAAAGGGAATCTTATTTTGACGTTTGATTTGACACAGCAATGACTAGTTTTAAAATTTGAAATACAATAAACATATAATGTTGTGTAACAACATTAACATTATATATTATAATTAACGTGTTGTATAATGTTTTGTAGCACCATTCACATTACTTACAATGTACTTTAAACAGGAAACGCCGTATATGTGCGGTATTAAGTTCTATCTGATATTTACATAAGATCTTAAAGGATAGAACAAATTTAAAAGTGTTAAAATTCATGAGCAAAAAGTGTATGCAAATAAATAAGCAAATATTTCTCACTGTGAGATATTTAACGGTACTGTGACAGCACCTAGATAATAGACTATGATAGATCAATAACACAAGTTTAACACGATCATGTGATCGGTATTGATTGTTTAGATAGTAATAGTACTTATGACACACATGTACAGTCTCAAAAATTATCAATGTCCAAATCAATGTTCAAATCTTACTAGGTCGTCACTATTGGTTATCCGGTGCACTTCTTCATTTTTATCCTTGACATAAATAACCCCATCAAATATCCTAATGTCCAAGGCGACCCGCCCATTGGACGATAACGAGGCTTGTCGAGTTACCACCCGTTGGCGGGCTCCCGAGGGACGGATATTCCAATCCGAACCGCAAGCATGTCAGATATTTTTCCTTGCATATTCTACCATATTCCATAATATTTTAAACCCTTTACTTTATTAAAACAATTCTCTATGGAAATTTATGTCATCACAACCATTACTATTTTCTTAAAACAGCGTATGAAATGACAACTTCATTCATAACGATTAAATAACGCCATCCTAAGCGTGCCATTGCACAGCGCGCGATTAATCTGGAATCCACATGCCACATGGGTAAAACTTACGAAACGCCAGTCTGATATGCAAGAATGTTTCTCACATAAGGGTAAAAATTCTGTTAAATATTAAATACTTACTACATTACACCTTAAAACATCAGGTACAAGAAATGTTAATCAGTTATACGTACATACCTAAATACTTTTAAGACTAATTTAATTAGAATTGAACATTAAAAGGACTTAAATGATGAGTCAAGAATATTAAAAGAAGAAAGGGAGAAAATAGTTGATTCCACTTGGGTTAAAAAAAAATTCTGGAAACAAAGTGATCCCTTGGAAGCATTAATCACAACAAAATTACAAGAAAATTGCAGACTCGGCTTGATTGAGTCTGTACATGACGGATAGGAATACATGCAACATCCCACACGCCCCTTAGCACCGGCTTGAGAAGCACTCAATTTTCAACACTCAATAGTGCTGGCATCAATGATCCCGAAGGACTAGAAAAATATAGCAACACAGAACCGACGTCCCTTGGTTTCAATGCAGTTGCCTATATAAATACCCTCAAAGCGGAGGGTATACATTAGGATAATTATACCTTAAAACGATTATATATAAAAATACCATTATAGATGCTGTCTTTTTTTTAACAAAAACTTCCACAATAAACAAAGCTGATTTGAAAACTTATGTGAAAATGGTTCTGCACTATTTTGTACAGTCCCACAAGTTACTATTCATGTACACTAAATTTTAGGGTTAAGTTGTTGGGCTTATAGATTTAATCTATACTTTACAAAAGGTTAATAATCTTAAGTCAATTTGTAGAATTTCGGTAAATAGAGTATTTATATCGCACATTTTATATAATTTTTATAAAGATTTTTAAAATGTGATAGATAAAGACTTTTATACATGTATGATATGCATACATTGACAGATAAAATTGTTTGCCTTCTTGGGGGATTTTTTCTGTGGACGATAATATTATCTTTTATCTCACTTACATTTTATCAACATGAAAAGAATGATTTATTATGCTGCGACTCTTGGTTGTCTAGATAAGAAATACATATGTAACATTCTTATACGTTTAAGAGGGGATAATTGCGTAAATCACAGGTCGAAATAATGTTGTCTCCCTTGATTTGTTATGATCTGTTGATATTATTTGTCATTTCATTTTTAGACTGAAACGCCAGGCTTGTCTTTGTTTTGCAACATTTTTTTCATTTATAGCATTTCATTCCTTCGGATATATATATAATTATAGACATACAAATGGAAGACAAATAAAAAAGGAATTTCATTATCTAGATTTTATCGATGTAAATTCATGAATCAAACTATGTCTCCGCACATTTGGGAAAATATCTGATAGTCAAACGGTGGAAAGCATCATCTTTAAATAATCCTTATTACACAAGACTATTAAATTATATTTATTTGATGTGAAGACATCTGAAAACATAAGTCATCAAATGATTAATTGTCTTGATGTCAAGACTGTGCGAAGGTTTTTTTTAATGTTCAATATTTCACCAGGATCAACAGACAGAGGTTTTCTTGTCAAAGACGGAACAGACAGTAAACAATGTATGTCAGTACAAGTTACGGAACCGAACTTTTCACGAATAAAAATTGAATTACAAACCCCTAGTAATATATTTAAGGACATGTAGTGATTATAGTACACATACATCTGTAATTACTCTTATGAAAATATTCCATACTATACCAAGGAATATGATTCTAAATACACTAGCATTACTCATCAATAAATTCAACGATGTTCATTATCTTTTTTCTAAGACGATCCGATCCTCGGACCTTGGTCTTAATGCCAATGTGCATTCCTGTTTGGAATAAAGAGCAAAGAAAATCTTTTGACCCACTTTTTAAGATGATTCAAGTACTGCAATTGTCCTGAAAAATATGAATCGCTTACAGCTGTATGCCTACAGTTGAGCCAAAATCAAGAAAATCAAACTTGACACAATGTTCTAAGATAATAAGGAAAATAAAAAGATTCAAGAAATATTTAGCATAACACATGTGTAAGTGAAACAAGGGTATTTTGCAGTATTCATCTCCAAATTTCGAGTGTTTGACTAACGCAGTAAGGGCTATTTTTCATATGTTTTGTCTTTTTGGTAAGTTACTGTAAGTGTAAGTACCCTTTACAACTTGTAAATTAATTTCTGTCTTAACTTCACAATATTCTACTTTTAAATACATTTTCAAAATTTTCATAAATAATTAACATGAATCTGGAGGCAAACTGCTTTAAAGTGAAACCAACAGAACAATGAAAACTGTGAGTGAAGATCAAATACTAGAAATTAATGTATCCATTTACACTTCTAGACAATCAATGACAGGTTAGTCAAATGCTTACAAAATACCTTGACCGACTTTCTCTCGGAATAATTGATTCTAAATTGACTATAGTACATACCTGTTTAATAAACTATAAACATATAAAATGAAAAATTGTTTTATAATATGATGTTCAATTTTATAGATGAATAAATATCTATCATGTATACCCAGTTCAAACGTTTATCTTACACATAATTGCTTTGGAAAAATAGTAATCAATAAAAATGACAAACACACACAAAATATTTAAATTCGGAAAAGAGGAAATCGTTTCCTGCATTATTCCTCAAGGTTTCTTAAATTAGATAAGAAATGTTTTGAATAATTGTCTGGATACAATAACATATTATGATTAAAATACAAAATGTGTGACTACTCCTTATGTAACAGTGTCCAACAATGTATAATTATGTTAACACATGTGTGCTAGTAAATCTCATGTTTACTCGACGTATAAATACGGTTACTAACAGAATGAAAAAGAAAACTTAAATATGCTTCAACAAGTCAGCAATGTAATATCTTATCACGTTTCAATCCAAAACACTTTCTTGCAATTATATGGATTCCATGGCCCAAAAAAGAGTAAAACGTTTACTCCATTAGACAATTGAATGTCGAGGAACTTTTCACTACGCCACCTATTTCTTCAGATTTTACAATAAGCTCCGTATTTCCAAATATCATTGTCAATTTAACCTTTTTGCTTTTAAAATCATCTTGTTCATAGTGTCTTAGTGACAGTATGCCAATCATTTCACAGTCAGGTTCTGTCGTATATTTAGGATCACTGCTAAGTGAGCGGTAGATTGGATACAAAGAGGATTCTTTGTTCACTGGAGATGCCATCTTCGTAATTTCTTGACCAAATTGGACAGTGTCGCCAGCTCTAACAAAAACATGAAATACGTTATCAGCATATGATTTCCCATCCACTTTTACCCTAAATGACGATTTGTGTGTCGAGCGTTTGAACCGTTGGAACATTTCTATACCATAAGAATACCTCATTACTCTTACAGATATAGACATAGGATCATGTCCGAAAACAACTGCTCCCTTTAGTACGGCCAAACCAGCATCTGTTGGTATGATTAAACGCTTTGATGAAAATGCATATCTAATTTTTTCTTGTACGTATGGACTTTCGGCCATACCACCTACCAAGATCAAAGTGGAAACTTGACGTACTTGTGGTTGTTTAAGTAGATCCTCAACATGATGTATGATATCATTAATAGGTCCATCAAACCACTTTCTCGCTAATTCTACTCCAACTCTAATTTTATCTTTTTTACTAAAAATATCCGACGAGAAAGATGAAGAATTTATCAATTCCTCCAATACTTTGCCATTTTCTTTTTCAGAAATCTCCCTTAAAGCTGAAGGAAGTTTGAAAGAAACATAAGTTTGCTCTTGTTCATCACAGTCGTCGTATGTTACCTGCCTCTTGTTGGTTTCGAATTCTCGCAGCATATCCAAATAGTCTTCAAGATATTCTTCCTTGAAACAACTCATAACTTGCTCTCCAAATAAATCTTCTAAAAAGTTCAAAAAGTTGTTGTCCACGTACATTCCACCCCATGGACCTCCACTTGCCTTGTACAACTCGGTTAACGTTCCATTGGCATTTATTCGATGAGCTGTTATATCTGCAGTTCCACCTTAAAGAGGGAATATACACTGGATAGTTATTAAGTAAATTAAACTGCTTCAGTCGACTTTATTATTGTTTTAATTGATGTAGTTTAAATTTGTTTTATAAAGCTTCCTTATATTATGTATTAAAGGTTAGAATTTGGGCACGCTCTAGTTACAAACTAAAATAAAAAAACATATCAGCACTTGCAATTACTTACCTCCAATGTCTATCACGATATACTGCAAACCAGACATGTTGTTTTTGTCTTTTGAATCAACAGATATCTTTTGACAACAGATAGATGCAGCTTCTGGCTCTAAAGCAAGTGTCAACCTCTCGTTATCAATATCTGCCTGTTTAGAGAAAACAGTATCAGGAGCAAATGAATGGATATATTTAAAACGAAAATATTAAAATTTACACGACCCTTTGAAACATATGTAGTGGTCAACAGTTAAGTATCTACTTATATCATCTCAACATATTGGAATTAAATCTAAGATTCAACATATTTGCATTAAATCTTAGGGTCTATTTTAGCCAAATTCAGCTTTATTAAAAGCGATAAGGAAAACAAAGCTATATTTTAAATGATTTACCTTTGACAACAGGGAAAAACAAAATCCCTTAAGAACGCACAAGACGGCAAAATTGAAAATGTTGCAGCGTCAGTTTGATTGAGTCTGTTCGTAGACGGTATTGGTAATTGCAAGTTACCGTTAACATCCCCTAATACTGGCCTCAACAAATTCAAACATTTAAATGGTAAACTTTTGAGTTTAGAAGCAGATAAATAAAATACCTGTAACGCTGCCATCCTCATGAATTGTTTCCCGTTATCATCCCAGATCGCGGGAATCGTTATGACATATTGTATATCAGTCTCTTCGATGTCAAAATAGTGATTTCGAACCTCCGACAAGAAATGGTCCCGCAGGTAACGTATGGACAATGAGAAAATGTCAATGGCAAACATTCGTCGCTTTCCAGTAATGTCTTTCACTGTCGTTCGTCTATTAAGTTTCTGAAATAATATAGCTAATAAGCATGTACGTATGTCAATTGTTTTCAAATGTAGTTCACCATGTTTCCAATTATTTAGTTAAATTAAAGTTATTATAGCAAATGGAAGGTCCTAAGAATGAAGGTTTATTGAAAAAAAATAAAAAAACTTCACGGCATATTCTTCCGTTTGGTATGTTTATTATCAGTTTTTTTTAAACACAATAGGTTAATATATGAGCCGCGTCACGACAAAACCAACATAATGGGTTTGCGACCAGCATGGATCCAGACCAGCCTGCGCATCCGCGCAGTCTGATCAGGATCCATGCTGTTCGCTTACCAACCCTGCAAGTAGAGAAACTGATAGCGAACAGCATGGATCCTGCTCAAACTGCGCGGATGCGCAGACTGGTCTGGATCCATGCTGGTCGCAAACCCACGAGGTTGGTTTTGTCGTGACGCGGCTCATATTAAGAATCATATCCTCCTGAGATTCTAATACCTTTCGCAAGATAGGTCGTGAAAATATCACTACATCAATACCTTATTCTTGTGCAATAACATTTTGAAACGTCTGAAAAACAACCAACTCTGGTGCTCGTCCCTTTCAACAAGCTTTGTGTATTTTTTTTCTGCTTCATACCCAAAGGAATGGTACTTCTCTTCAGGATCTAGCAATAAGCATGTAGGTGTTTTCAAAGAGAGATAGGACCCATTGTTCCAAGTATTGTTTGCATGTATCTCTAAAGGTTTGTCACGAAATGAGAAGGCGTAACCACTGAATGTATTCCCAAAGTCGAAAGCAGCAACCAGAAGGTGAGAACTTTTTTCGATTCTGTTCATATTTGACAAGAACATCTGAAAAAGGTGATTTGTTATTTACATATCTTAAATTATTGTGCGACAACACTTCTATCAAATAAATTCCCTCATGTTTACAAAGAAACTGTTTTCAAAGAAATGATCGCGTTTTGATGCATCTAGCGAGAAGGAAATATTTCAAATTGAGCTCATTGGAAAACTGTTTCGCTATGGTATATTTTTAAGACTTATGAAAAGGTACATTGCAGAATTGTCAGTTTTGAAGTTCATAAGATCATTTATTATATACTTTTAAATGAAATATTGAGAAATATTGATGAAATTAAAAACGTATTTTCATTTTCCGTATTTTCACTGTAAAGATTTATTTTTCACTGCAGTGAAACATTTTTCCCGTATTTTCACTGGTGTCTTGCCGGACTACCTTCTTTTATGCTCTGCCAGTACTCAAAATTTAAGGGAAAGTCTTTCAAATTTTAATGTCTAGAAAGAGAAAAATGTATATAATAAACAGAAAATTCAAGTTTTTTCTATAAATACATGATTTATTTTCATCTTGTGGCATGAAAATTACCATATTTCACTCGTGGCTACCGCCACTCATGAAATATTTATTTTTATACCACTCGATGAAAATAAATCATGTATTTATAGAAAAAACTTGAATATCCTCTATGTATTGTGCGGCGTGCGAGTATATACAATATATTTTTTTCACTTTGTTTAATATTTTGTCTGTCACAAGTACAAATAGTAATACGAAAATAGATATATGATTAAGATTATGAAATATAAGCATTTTAAAAGCTGAGAAATGATTAATTTAAAAAATGATTATAATACTTACTTATAGCTTTAAATAAATTTTATAAAGGTTCCTTTCCTGTGCAATTTATATAGTCAGACAAACTTTTATCACATTGTACCAATCAAAGTATACTTGTAAGATAACAAGAATGATTCGCGCAGTTTTAATGCACACAAACAAACATTTCAAGATATAAATCTTGATTAGGCCTATGATAAATTACACGTTTAAACCGCCAGTTTGAAGTTTTAAGAAACACTGATACTTATTATAGGTATGGCCCTTACGAGCATACTTAAGAAATAAACATTCCTGTCATAATTTAAAAAAACGAATATTCAACCCTTTTTCTGAGAACTCCAGGAAGTGAAATGTACAGTGTGTTTTTTTTAAACAAGCTAGATTACCTACTTTTATTTTCCATTAACACAGCGCGTTTGAAACCGACAGTGATTAACATGGTTAACTAGTATAGAGCAAAGCCATTCTGCAAAGCCGTTATATAAATTCAACGGGCAGATATGCTCTTCATCGTTATGTGTGTGTACTTGTTCCGCTCTGAATTCAACTCAATCTACCATGTAGAATATACCGTTTACAATACGATATTCACGTATCAACAGTAGCGATATTTGTATGAAAGTTTTATTTCATCATGGTTATTTAAACATTAAAAAAAACTTTATTTATAATATATTAAAGAGTCAAAATTGTTATAAATAGCCGATTGATGCAAATCAGCATTTAAAAAGTTTGCTAATCACGATTAATTCACTCGATCTTACATTTCTGATAGTTTCTAACCATAAAAAAATCATTTACTTTAAATAAAGCTAGATTCGATTCCTTTAAAATACACAAATTATAGTATGGCGGATGGTCTTAACGCACCAAACTCACATTGCAAAGGTTTTGAGTTAAAGTCCTTCCACTGAAATTATTGCCTTTCTTCTTCCGTATTTTACAATAAAAGTCGGTAGTAACTAAAAGTTAAGCCACCAAGGGAGCAGTCATCTGGAACAACTGAAACAGTTTGTGTATGTCCATCGTCGGTTACCCTCATAATAAATGAATTTTGTTAACTTAATACTATTACTACCAATCAGACTTTTCCAAAACTTACAGATTATTGATAATTAAATTTATTGAAACTTCAATAACTGATCACAGAAACAGTTTAAGCGAAAAACAAATAAGGAGTCTCTTTTTTCAGTTTTCTACCCTGGACTGGAACGTATCCTTTTGTTAAACCGCATCATTTCAAGAGCATTTTACAAGTTCATAAGTCCAATCATTGTTTTTATTAATCATTTTGTCATTGGTCACAATACAAAATGTCACGAATCCTATAAAACATTTGTGTTTTTATTCAGTTTACTTTTAGAGACTGAAAGTTCTGTAAAGGCATGCCAATTTTAACTGATTAAACCTATTCATGGATAGTAATGTCAAGTGCCAACTACTGTCTACTCCATCTACAACGGGCGTAACCAGAATTCAATATCTAAACATAAAGATGTGAAATTATGTATTTCGAAACATCCAGAGATGTGTTCATATGGTGGTTATCCTGGAACCTTCAATGTGACACTAAGTGCCATTCCATGAAAACCGGCTTACGGTTTCCAATTAATAGAAAGCGTGTGCCCTAAACGAGAAAACAATTGGCGGAACTAAACAAGAATTTAAGTGTCCTTGACCGCGGGGAAGGTCTAAAGGCAATCCCAACCGGTATATTATATTGCTATGTACCAAAAATATGGTACAGAAAAGATCAACAAGGAAAGGCGTCGTTCAATGAACGCAACTCCCAAACGACCCAGCAACAATAACCAGCGGCAAGGTGCCCTGGAGGACCCCAAACAAAAACTGGACATGGCGCAAGGCAGAGCATAAATGATACTTTAAAAGAAATAATAGTAACCGACAAGGAAATTAAAGAAAACAAATAATTGATTTGTTGATAAAAATATCTCATTCCTAACTCGTGTTATTGTCGGAAACCATTTTTGTTTTAGAAAAGGTGACTGACCCCAGGGAATCGAAAGCAATATCATCAGGTCTTCGCATAAATCTTTTATATACCATGTTTGATAACAATGTCTCCTTCCTATCGCTTGTTATTTTCCGGAAACCTTTTTTCGATTTTTACTAATGATAACCTTGACCACACAATATCTCAATTCTAACTCTAGTTATTGTCCGAAAATAATTTTCTATTTTCAGCAACGGAAACCTTGACCCTTACACCAGGGGCACAAAAACAACACTGACCGTGGTTTCTACATAAGATTGCTATATACCAGTTTGATCACAATAACTCATTAAAAACTCTAGTTATCTTCAGGACACCATAAAGTGGACCGACTGGCGGACGGATAGACAGACCAACCGACCGACAAGCTGACTCCAATATATCCTCCCAAAATTTGGTTTGTTGGGGTATAATTATGGATTTCAATCAATAAAACTGATTTGTTCCTCAGTTGATTTCAATTTCATCAACATTACATACATATGATTTCAATGAACGCCGCCCTGCCGGGGACTTTTTATTTTAGTGATTTCTATCAAATAAAGTCTATTTCAGTAGTCTACTGCTGTGTTTTTGATGAAACAGGAATGGTCCGGATCTGAAATAACTGTTGACGGTAGAACGTGGGGATGGAAATCAGCAGATGATGAAATGATCAAGCAACTGGAGTACTCAGTGTACAATTGAGCATGGGTATCCATGTTTCCATGTTGTTGTTACTATCATTTAGTCAGAATGACGACTTATCACGATCAACATTTAAAATGTATGATAGCATGACAGGCGTTGATTAGCTCAATCACAAAAACATTTCATGAAAGAGGGTCTTATCGTGTCGGATATAACATATTTGCATTACAAAAGAAAGGTATGGTATTCAGTTAACAAAACTACTACAAAAAATATCAAAATGTCAATATGAGTCACAGAAGTAGATAAAAGATATAATAATAAAGAAACAAATGCTTAGTACATATTAAAATTAACTGTTTGAGCTTCTCTAAAACATGGCACAATAAATAAACTTAGCTAAATTAACAATTCTTTTCTTTTGCGAAGATTGCATAATTGATATAAATTAAATACAATAATACCGAGGACAACATGGACCTCCTAATTCACTACAGAATGGACAAACTATTAAAAATGATATGCATTGTCTATTTGATTCATACTGCATTCAATGCATATACGTGAGGAATTCCTATCGATGTTTCTTTTATTTCCTATTTCTATAAACAATTTATGGGATGAACATCTAAAATTTGATAAAGCTGTTTTTGTTATGTTTTTTTCGGTTTCAAACCGAGTCTGCAATTTTTATGTAATTTTGTTGTGATTTTTGCTTCCGAGTTCCGAGGGATCATTTTGTTTCCAGATTTTTATACTTCACAACAGCAGGTGTCAAGTGCAGTGTGGCATTTGTAAAAAGTTGCCCCGTACTTCACTTCAGTGTTGTTATATTTGTCTGGTCCTTCGAAATCATTGATGCCAGCCCTATTACGTGTTGAGAATTGAGTACCGCTCAAGCCGGTGCTTGGGGACATGAGGGATGTTGCATTTATTCATTATCCCTCATGTACAGACTCAATTAATCCGAGTCTGCAATTTTTATGTAATTTGTTTGTGATTAATGCTTCCGAGGGATGACTTTGTTTTCAGATTTTTATTATCCCATAAATTAATGAACTCAATACAAATCTAAAGGCAGTAGTGTTCATATTGTTTCTAAAACCAAATTGAAAATCGTTAAACACGTGATTCCTTCAGCACATTTACGTAAACGAAAATGTAGCATAAAATTTAACAGTTGTGAAAATACACTGGTTAGGGTGATGTCTCTATAATTATTTACATCATTATTATCTTTTTTGGGGGGAGGGGGGCAAAAGCACTATAATTCCCAAGATTCTGGGTATTGCCCTGTATCAAAAATGTGATTAAATAATTTAAAAAGTTTCTTTTGTTTATTTTGGTTTAGATTATGTTTATTGCGTGGTCGTCTTTTTCCAATTCGATACATGCGCCTTAAAGGAATAAGAATTTCAAGGCACTAAACAAGTACCTGGAGTGGACACAAGGGCGAAAGGAGCGGGACATGTAATGTGAAATAATATAAACAAAAACAGGCCCATAAGGGAATTAAAGGGAAAAGGGATGTACGGGTGAAAAGGTGGGGGGGTTAAAAATGGAAGAAGGGGGGAGAGAAAATACCTACCGTCAACGACAATCCAACAAGACAGACATCACAAAACATGTAAACATCCAAAAACAAGTAACAATACAGACAAGAAAACATGTGAAGGAACACAAAGGGGTACCGCCTTTACCATCACATGTACAATGGCATTTCTAACAAAGGGGAACAACTTTTGTGATACAATAGCATAATTGATTAAGCTTTTACCTAAATAGCAACTTTGGTTTCATATTGACTTCAGATCTTATTTTGGTTTCCAGACAACCAGAATGAATTTTATAAGCATAAATATCTGCAACCTGATTGTGGCGAAATCGGAAGTACAATTTATTTTTACATAAGAAACTACGCCTTTATACCATCCATACATCAATATTAAATCAACAAACATGACTTTAAGTAGCATTCCTAACGGTATATTTCCGCATTGTAACGGATGATTTCATACAAATGAAAAACAATTTATGAGATGATAACTTTTTTTTGAACGCCAGGCCTAGTGCACCGTGAAGTTAAAACGGTTAAAATGCGTTTGCACAAGAAACTCCCATATTTGCTTTGTTCCGGCTAGCAATTATAACACTGTGACGTAGCGCATACACGAGCCAATTACTGTCTTCATTTGAATGTTAAAATTTGTATACGAATTTTAGTGATACCGTGGGGTTTTCCGTTGAAAATGGTAATTTATGATCACAAATTGATGACGGCAAAAATATGTTAACATATGTATTTAATACTACTTTAAGGTCTTTGACTTTAAGCTGCTTGTCCCTCACGGCGGTGTACCCGACAAGGGGCTTAGAATTATTTCATGTAAAGAACCTAAATAAAGGAACGTCGATGGTTCTACTGAGGTGCTCTTGCGTGCCTGAAATAATAAACGACAGAACACCTGAGGTCTTTATCAATCAGTAAAGCTAGAAATGACTATATGACCTATACTATGTTGGTGCGACTTAAAACATAACCAAAGAATGTTAGTGCCTTTTGCAGCGTGTAAATTATTTTCTTTGTTTACTTTGAAATACTGTACTTTTAAAACCATTTACATTTTCAAAATGTTTATGGAAATTGGATTGTTGCTTTGAAACTGAGATCCCATAGAACAATGCAAACAAAAACATTTGAGTGAAGATCAAATACAAGAAATTAATGTCTCCATTAACATACTTTCTGGCAATCATTGGCAGGTTTATCAAACATCCATAATAAACGTAGACCGACACATTCTGGGAAGAATTTAATTTAAATTGACTTTTGAGTGTGTTCATGTATATAAAACAGGTTTTTAAATCGTGAAAATATACAAAATACCTTAGAAAATGGTGTAAACTTTTACACATGTATTTATCTATCATGCAAACACTGTTCAAATATTTCTTCTTGATAAATACACAGAATTGTATTTAAAAATGAGTAATAAATATGAATGACAAACACACACACAAACTATCAAGATGTGGAAAAGGCGAGATCCCTTCCAGAACTTTTTCTCACGGCTAAGGTTATAAAATAAGACATATGTTGGAATAATGGTCTAGATACAATAACATAGTGTGTTCAATAGTCTTTAAGGAGTTATTAGTTTACTTTATTAGACAATTGAACGTCGAGGAACTTTTCTCTACGGTATCCATTTCTTCAGCTTTTACAATAAGCTCCGTATTTCCAAATATCATAATTAATTTAAACTTTTTGCTTTCCAAATCAGCTTTTCCAACATGTTTCAGTGTCAGCAAGCCAATCCTTTCACAGTCGGATTCTGTCGTATATTTAGGATCACTGCTAACAGAGCGGTAGATCGGATACAAAGAGGATTCCTTGTTAACTGGAGAAGAGAAATGCGTAAGTTCCTGACCAACTTGTACCGTGTCGCCTGCTCTAACAAACACATGAAACACGTTATCAACATATGCTTTCCCTTCAACTTCTAATTTAATGACGATTCGTGTTTCGCGCGTTTGAACCGTTTGAACATTTCTATACCATAAGAATACCTCATAACTCTTACAGATATAGACATAGGATCATGTCCGAAAACAACTGCTCCCTTTAGTACTGCCAAACCAGGATTTTCTGGTATGATCAAACGCTTTGATGAAAATGCAAATCTAATCTTTTCTTGTACGTATGGACTGTCAGCCATACCACCTACTAAGATCAAAGTGGTTACTTGACATACTTCCGGTGCTTTTAGTAGATCTTCAATATGATGTATGATATCATTAACAGATCCTTCAAACCACTTCCTTACTAATTCTACTCCAACTCTAATTTTATCTTTTTTTATTTTTATGTCCGACGAGAAAGATGAAGAGCTTATCAATTCCTCCAAGACTTTGCCGTTTTCTTCTTTAGAAATTTCCCTTAAAGTTGAGGGAATTCTTATAGTAATGTTAGTTTGCTCTTGTTCATGACAATCGGTATATTTTACTTCCCTCTTGCTGGTTTCGAATGCTCGCAGCATGTCCCAGTAGTCTTCAAGATTGGTTTCTTTAAAACAACTCATAACTTGCTCTCCGAATAAATCATCTAAAAAGTTCAGAAAGTTGTTGTCGACGTATATTCCACCCCATGGACCTCCACTTGCTTTGTACAATTCGGTTAACGTTCCATTGTCGTTTATTCGATGAGCCGTTATATCCACGGTGCCACCTTTAACAGGGAATGAACACTGAATTATTTTAAAGTACAGCTTATTTTGTCAACTAAATAATTGTTTTAATATATGTTCTTTAAAATTATATCATTCACCATACTTTATGTACAAATAAAATTGGTTTTATGCATGCTCTAGAATAAAATCCGTCTCAAACAGATCAGCATTTGTTATCGCTTACCTCCTAGGTCTATCACGATGTACTGCAAACCAGACAAAATTGTCTTGTCTTTTAAATCAACTGATATCTTTTGACAACAGATAGATGCAGCTTCTGGCTCTAAAGCAAGTATCAGCTTATCGTTATCAATATCTGCCTGTAAAGAAATATCGGAAACATATATAAAAGTATCAAGTATTTACACTAAATCCAAAAAGGTCTGTTTAAACTATAATTTCAAATGACTTAGCTTTGACGATGTCCATTGACGAAAGTGGTTATTGCTAGCGACCGTCCATTCCTACTAGCAGCGGCGTCAGCAGCATTCAACATTTATACATGAATGTGGTGTAATTTTGAGTTTAGAAACATATTTTTTTTTTTTTTTTTTGATGCGTTTATTTAAGGTCGCCGCCGGAAAGCCCATATGGGCGACCGTACACTCAAGTCGGGTCATCCTAGAGCGTCCCGCCGAGATTTTTCGTCGATTTTTTTCCAGCTTTATTGGTGGAGGAAGACCCCAGGTGCCCCTCCGGGCATTATTTCAGGCACGAGCGGGCACCTGGATAGAACCACCGACCTTCCGTAAGCCAGCTGGATGGCTTCCTCACATGAAAGATTTCGACCCGAGTGAGAATCGAACCTACAGTGGTGAGGGACCTGTGATCTCAAGTCAACGACTTTAACCACTCGGCCACGGAGGCCCCACTTTAGAAACATAACAACCGCAGACAAGTTAAATACCTGCAACGCTGCCATTCTCATGAACTGTTTACCGTTGTCATCCCAGATCGCGGGAATGGTTATAACATATTGTATATCAGTCACTTCGATGTCAGGACATTTCTTTTGAAGTTCCGAAAAAAAATGGTCCCGCAGATAACGTATTGACAATGAGAAAATGTCAATGGCATACATGCGTCGCTTTCCTGTAATGTCTTTGACAGTCGTTAGTCTGCTTAGTTTCTGAAGAGAGATTCAAATAGCTAAATGCATGTATGTTAACTGCCTTTTATTAAATGCAGTTCATCATATTTCGAATTATTTAGTTAAAATGTTTTATTATAGCAAATAAAATGTTCCAGAGTGAAAACTTCTATAAAATGTTTTTTTACGAATAACTTCCAGACATGGTTATTATTCATTATCTTTTTTAAATAAAATTATAAAAACAAAATAAGTCGATACTGTAAAAATCATATCCTTACTGACGCATAATGTACCTTTCGCTAGGTAGGTAGTGTAAAGGTACGTATTGAAAACGATAATCTGATTTTAAAGAGATTTAAGATTAAAGGATAAATTACTTAAACTTTAATGTACAGAAGAATTCAGGAGATTTTAACAAAACTTTTAGAAAATATCAGTACATCATTACCTTATTCTGGTGCAATAACATTTTGAAACGTCTGAAAAACAACCAACTATGGTGCTCGTCTTCTTCAACAAGCTTTTTGTATTTATTTTCTGCTTCATATCCAAAGGAATGGAATTTCTCTTCAGTGTCTAGCAATAAGCTTGTAGGTGTTTTCAAAGAAAGATAGGTACCATCATTCCAAGCATTGTTGGTGTATATCTCTAAAGGTTTGCTACGAAATGAGAAAGCATAACCACTGAATGTCGTCCCAAAGTCGAAAGCAGCAACCACAAGATGAGAACTTGTTTCGACTTCGTTCATATTTGACAAGAATAACTGAAAAATGTGATACGTTATTTAGATATCTAAAATAATTGTAAGACAATATTAATATCCAATATATTTTCCTAAAATTTACAAAGAAACTGTTTTCAGAGAAATGATCGCTTTTAAATGCATCTAGAGAGCACAAATGAATTAAGTCGAATATGTTTCGCTATGGTATATTTTTAAAAAGGGAAAATCGGGAAAATAGCAAATGCATAAATAACAGAGAAAGGCAACTGAAAATACACGCGTGCTTGCTTAACTTAAAATTTATTAACCAGATATCAAAATCAGTAAAATAATACATTTTCTGAAAGCTTATGCATTTTTTCTATGGCTGCAGGTAAGAACATTTACAGTTCCAATTTTTAAAAGTGATACATCAATGTTTAAAGAGAACTACTTATCAATATTTGTTACATGTTCATGTGACAAAAAACTGCTTGTTTGTGAAAGGCAAGGAAAGTTATCAATATTTTAACATCAAGCAATAGATAAAAGTTTAAACTTCCAAATGATGTATAATATAAAATGATCAAATGTACATCCATTAAGTTTTATTTGCTACAAAATATTTTGATGGGCATGACTGATATTTCAATGGAGCTGCTTATCTGTGTTATCTACATTTCTGAAAATCGAAGGACTAGATTAAAAGTAATGAGACAGATTTGTCAGTTTTAAAGTTCGTAAGAACATATTCTGCACAAGTATTTACGATATCATTATCACTTTTGTTTATTGTATCTGCCACAATTTAACAAAGTAATATTCAAAATAAATATATCATTTACATCATTAAAAGATTTTGAAACAGATTAATAATAAAGATGATATTAATACCGCAAACTTACTTTTATAAACGTTCCTAACTTTAAAAGTTTTAAAGTCAAAATTTATCGCTTTGTCCCAGTCAAATATGAGCAAAATCGATTATTTCGTATAGTTTAAAGTACTCCCAATAACATTTCTAGACTTAAATCTTGATAAGGGCTATGATTTGTAGTAAGGCTGATATTTTAGATGGTTATGACCTTGGAGAAATAAATATTCATAACAAGAATGTTCATCTCTTCTTCTGATAACTGCATGATACCAGGTAGTGAAATGAACCATGTGCTTTTTTAAACAAGCTTAATTTCCATCATTTTCATTATATTATTATAGCAAAGCCATTCTGCACGTATGTACAAGGAATACACTGTTAACAGCTCCTTTTTCCTTCAGTATCCCGTCAATTTCCGAATATACAGCAAGGCAAAGCCATTTTAAAAATGCAACGTCACCATTATGAGTGTGTACAATGTACTTGTTCCGTTCTGAATGAAACTCAGTCTGCATTATATACCTTTACGATTAGAGACTCCCATATCAACAATAGTGATATTTATAAGAAAGTATTGATTTCATCATGGTTATTTAATCATTCAAAAATCTTATTTTATTCAATATTTAATGTCAAAATTGTTATAAATAGCCGAGGGATGCAATACTTTGTAAACATTGTGAAAGTTTGCGAATCATGCAAATCATGAATTAATGAATTAATGCATTCCATTTTACAAAAGATTACGCATAATATTGTATGGCGGATGACACGCACACACGCCAAACTCACATTGCGGTGGTATAAGGTTAGAGTCCTTCAACAAGGAGATGTTCTCGGTTTTCTTCCACATTTCAAACTAAAAGTCGGTAGTAATTAAAAGTATATATTTCGTAATTACGGCATAATCTCCATCGACGGTTACCCACGGAATATTTTCCGTACAAACATGATACTATATTAGAACTTATTCCATGGATAACCGACGATGGTTTAAGGTCTCAACAGACCGTAGGATGTTGTTGTATAACACAGATTAAATCTATTTAGCAATACAACACTTGCATTCAGACCGTAATTCTACATTGTATGAATCATCAGGATTCCCTCTAAAACATTTCCCGCAAAATGGATCCATTATAGAAAACTCACTATTATAACTTGAATATGTATAAATGTTATAACTGTTGGTATTTACCAGTTAAGAAAATTGATATTGAGGCAAGCGGTTCTGTATTTTTTGGTCTCACGGTGAAAACTTTCTTTCTTTATGAGACATAATGGAAACACCTCCCTTTAAAAACAAAAGTAGTCCGAAATTGTCACAAAGTGAAAATAATGTGCGGCCTGACCGAGACTCGAACTCGGGAGTCTCGGAATATGGTATCGCACCTATGGCTGATCTCTCCGGCCGCTACCTCCCCTAATAAGTGAACAGTTCAATACCGTAACATAATTATTTTCTGAGTAATTTGGGATTCGAACTTGACACAACTTGTGGTCCTCCATATTTTTCAGCATCCTTTTCATCCTATCATAGTACTACGAGTATGTTTAGATTTAAGCCCTTATTGTTGTTGAACTACATTCATTAGACATATTACCAGGGAATAATTGGAAAATATATCCCCTGGAATTGTGGGAGTTATTTACAACAAGAATTAAGAGACAGAACATGACCTATCCTGAAAATCTAGTATAAAGCTGTATAAATTCAAGAAATAGTAGCATTCACACATTAAGATATGCTGATACATTTAAGTTTTAATTGGTATTGTACTTCAAAATCCTACCGTGTGTTGAGATCTTTATGTCTTTTAACGTTTGTTTTGACATAAAGAGCAAACAAGGAAAGTGCCAAAAGTTTAATTAGCCAACAATAAATGTGTACACCATTTTTTGTTTATGGTAAAAGAAATTATGTTTATGACTTAAATTTTAAATCTTGTTTTGTTAAATCGAAGAGATCTAGCATTATGACGAATCAGACCCTTTCAAATCTTACAGATACAGACAATAAAAACTGCAATAAAAATATATATCACTCACAAACATTTATACCCCTGACATTTTTGATAAGCTAAATTCTTCATAAGTAAACAATCGTTCTATTGAACAGTGCACAATACATTATTTTATTCAGTTTATATATTTGTTTAAGGTGTATGCAACAGTCGCATATAGAAATAGAGTCAGAAAAAACTGCATTATGAAGTTTATTGAAACTTATCATGATCTTAGAGTATGATAACAGAAATAATTTATCTGAAAAGCAAATTAAGAGTTACGTTATCCAGTTATCTGCCCTTGAATGTGTATTTTGTTTAACCAGGTCGTTTGAAGTGCAGTTTACTAATATTATGTACCTAAGTCTGACAATCGTTTATATTTATCATTTTATTCTTGGTAACAAAACACAATTTCATGAATCTCATAACTCATTTTGTGTTAAAATTGGAGACTGAATGTTCTTTAAAAGTATGCCAAATTTTAAGAAAATTGGCATCGGTTAAAGTAAGGAAGAAACATAAACTGTTCTTCATCTTTTTTTTATATTCACTCGTTATGAAATCAGCTAAATGAAAACCAGAAAAAGACGTTGCTATTGTTGAATTAAGCACAATTTAAGGGCAGATAACTAAACTAATTATCACCCTTATATTTGTTTTTTAAAGTGTTCCTGTAATAAAATAATTAAACTACGTGTTAACAATACACCAACTTGGACTTAATCCACAAAATAGTTTAAATATACGTTCGGGTATTATTTTTGCAGCATACAATGTAGTTTAAACAGCGTAACAATATTGCTTGGACAAACAATAGTTGATTTTGTAAGTACACGATAACAAAGATTATAAAATCTGATAAACAGTGTAACAAGCTTATTACGCTATGTATTATGCAGTTATTATTTTGACATTATGCATTTTCACAAAATGTAAACCGTTATATCAAAGTTAATACAACGGACTTTTTCAAAGTATTGCATTGTCGTCCGTTTACATTGAATAAGTATAACTAGTTTATAACAATCACGCTCTATTTATGAATACCATATCATTCAAAAGTGATGGTGTGGCTGCTTATGGCGATAAAATAGCGGACAAAAAAGAATTCGGCGGGTAGAAATTTTTCGTAAACCGTGAAAGTTGAACTTTTATAATATTTAATTTAATGTGACGACAGTAACTGAATATTTGTCTATATATTTTGATGTTATAACTTGAAGCTTATGGCCTTGAATTGTTATAGTGGTAATCAGGAAAGTTTTATCTTTTTGATAACATTTGAAATTTAAGTTATTTATCAATTTCAGTTTTACTTTGTTCGGAAAAGGCATGTAATTGTAAGCGATAATAAAAATGAGGTACCACATGGGGAAACTCTTTAAAACGTTTGTTTTGGGGGAGGGGGCGTTGAAAAGTGTGAAAATAGCAAATATTACACACCTCTTCTAATATTAGTGACAGGTCTATATTTTTCGGATGTACCTGTTTAGCAATAGAAAGTCCACTATGGGGTATTTCTTATGCACGTGCACATTTCAAGTCTTGTCAGATAGACCCGGTCATGTAAAACACGTGCAAATTTAGACCTGCCTTCGTGAAGACTAAACAAAACAATAATAGTAGATATAAGTTAAAAATGTAAATGGTGATACATTTTAACAAAGGAAAAAATGCAAGATAGTGTTCATTGAATTCACTTGACAATTATTCTAACGTACCTTAATTTAATGTCAATAAAGATATTGGACAGTCGATACACATTTAAGATTTATTTAATCGCGTCATTTTTCAAAGCAAAAATCCAAGCTTGTTCTTCTCTATGCAGACGACACTATTCTGTTATCGAACACTGCAGAAAACCTCCAAATTTGCTTGAACAATTTTAATGATTACTGTAAAAATTGGCATTTAAAGGTGAACATAAACAAAACAAAAATAGTAATTTTTGGTGCTCGACAAACTGGGAATTTTAGATTTAACCTAGGAGATGAAATATTGAGATATCCGACTCTTACCATTACTTAGGTGTGACATTCTCTAGCAATGGTTCCTTCCTTAAAGCTAGAAAGCACGTAGTCCAACAAGCAACTAAGGCAATGTATTTACTATTTACTAAATCAAATAACTCAGACTTACCGCTAGATCTTATTATTAAACTATTTGACCACACTGTTTTACCTATTCTGACATATGGATCGGAAATATTTGGATTTGAAAATTTAGATATATTAGAAAAAGTTCATAATGAATTTCTACGTAAAATAACCAAATCTCGTAAATCGACCCCCCTATACATGCTAATGGGCGAACTTGGAAGGTATCCAATATCTATCATAATTAAAACTAGGATGATCTCATTTTGGAATCGTCTCATTAAGGGGAAAGAAAACAAAATATCGTTTCAACTTTACAAATACATGACCAGTTTCCCTAATCATGAGTTTAAATGGACCTCTAAGATACGAGACATTCTTAATTCCGTTGGCCGCCCTGATCTTTGGCAAAACCAGACCCAAATAAATCACTTGCATATACATAAACTTATCAAACAAATACTAATAGATCAATATAAACAGTCTTGGTACGCGCAGCTTCAACAGTCAAATAAAGGGTTAAATTATAAAAGTTTTAAAGAAGATCATAAGTATGAAGAATATTTTAAAATTTTAGAGCAATCGGATTATATTTCTTTATTCAAATTTAGAACATCAAATCATAAACTTCCAGTAGAAGTTGGGAGATACGATGGTACTCCTTATAATGAAAGACTTTGCACATTGTGTAGCGACAATCAAACTGGCACCGAGCAGCATTACTTGTTACATTGTAGTTTTTTCGGGAGACAAAGAGAGCATTTTTTCCAAAACGCAAATTTAATAAACGAACGCGAACTTTCGCTGAAATCACTATTAGGGTCAAATAACATACATGTTTTAAGGAGCCTCGTGAAATTCATTAATTCTATTACAAAAACTTTCCAATAATCCTAATGCCTCCATCAGTAATACAAGATTTCATCTTATATTTCTCACTTGTTAAACTGTTTGTTTCCTTTAAATTGCGTGTTTATTTTTATTTTCTCAACATTTTCTTTGTATATAATTTTCTATTCACAAATGAAGTTATTTTTTCATAAAACAGATGTCTGTTATTGTTAGAAATATAAGTACATATTATCTATATGTAAATTTATAAATTGCCATTACCCACATCTTACTGACAAAATCTTATCCAACATAGTCCCATTGATTCTTATTTCGAATTTCCCCAATGCACGTAGTAATACATTATAAATCTATGAATGACATTCCTTTCAGTTGTAGATAACTGTTATGCACGACTTTCACGTGCAGATTTACTACATGTTTGTGCTTATGTTGTTGTTTTTTACCTAATGTCGTGCTAAACATACATACAGAACAGAACAGAATATTTTATTGGCATTAAATACAAACAATATTTATAGCCATACAAATATAAACATGTATAGTGGTGCATACAAACTTTACCAGAAGAACAAAAGTTTAACAATTTAGATTTAACAAACATTTTTAAGTCTAGTTTCTTAATGGTATCATTGTCTTTCTCTGAAAGCCAAATATAAAAATCGACCTAATTTGTAAATTGATCTTATAGAATCTGTTGACATTAAAGTAGTGAACTTTTGAATAGATGGCCATCTGCAAAAATACGGGGTGAAAGTTTTGATTCGTAACTGTCTGTATTTAGGACAAACAAGTAAAAAATGATAAGGATCTTCAATCATATTCATATTACATTGAGTACAGTATCGTTGTTGTCGGTCAGTATTGTTATATCGTCCAGTTTCAATGGCTAAATTATTTGTATATAATCTAAACTTTGTAATTGTAGTTTTATATTTAGTGTCCACATACATACAAGTGCGTATTGTGTTGTATACCTGTTCAAATTATTACAATAGACAACCTCCTTATTTTATTTTATTTTTTTCTTCAAATGTAGTTACACGTAGAATAATAAATTAATGGTGTATATCGATCTAATGTTAACAAACCCCTGCTCGATATATCATTCCATAGTTTGTATTTATTTTTCTAATTTAGTAAAGTTTTTTTTTGTGTGTGTGTGTGTTTTCCTCATTGGCAATGTACTGTGTTAAATGATTATATACTTCTTTTGTTCGTACCGGAACTATGCATTCTCTGTTATATAAAAATTGTGTTATGCCCCCATATTGTATTGAAAAATGCTTGGGTGAAAATAAAAGATATGTTCTGTTCTGTTCAAAAGTTAAAAGAGAAATCACTCGCATACAAGTTATTTTCTGTAATTATCGTTAATCTTAAAACAGGCGTAATTATCCAATTGTCTAAACACACGCATGGTTGTTAGACATTTTTCACAAGTTTTGACGGTAAGCGAGTGGATCAGAGGCAATTAGTCTGGCTTCGAATAATAGGTGTGAAATTTTGTCATAATTGTATAAATGGGACCGAACTTTAACTTCAAAAATTGAAGGTATTCGGATAATGCATTTCGAATAATACGTCGGTATTTATATTTAAGGAAGTGGCTAGCCGTACGGGCCCGTACGGCTAGCCAAAAGTTCTAGTCGTACGTGAGTCACGTACGACTAGCCAGGACGCACTGTATTGTCTAGCCGTACGGCACTTTTCAAAATTATATGGAAGTCGAAAATGCATATGTTATTTTACAAGTGTCTTTAAACAAGGATTTTAACCATGTCTCTACATTTGTTCTCAAGTGTTCACTTTATAAAGATGCTCCGCCATTTTGTAAAAAAAAATGAATACGAGCAAGCGTTGTAATCTTTCTTGATAAAAGTTTCAAAATTGCATGTTATAAGTTATAACGTCGTTGCTTTATTTGTATGAAAGATGAATTATTAAATCATATTTAATTGCACATCCATGGATCGCATAAATAATCATAACGGCAAAAGAAACTTTTTCATAACGACATGATCGGAGTAGAATAAATAAATAAAAAGAACATTAAAAAAGAACATTAAAAAAATCGAAAAAAAAAACGGTGAAAAGCAAAAACAATATTATATCTTTTATAAATACAGTAGATAAATGTCGAACATAAAAGCACAATCAATTAATTAGCCTTTATTAAAGCCTATCCAGGGAATTTTAGAAGCGTTTCACAGAACATGCAAACTTTTCTTAATGATGGACAAACTTCTATACTGTCGGTAATTGACGCAATTATCAGAGCCGAACAACAATTATTTTCGGTGGTTTTTTCATTTAATTAGGTGTCGAAAATTAAACTTATTGAAACAAAAAAGTATTATAACCAAAATTGCGTAAACTATTTCAATTGGTGTTATTCAACTAATTATAATTTAGAGATAACTACGGGACCGCCGATCTACTTCGGATAATGCCGGGTATTCGAATAAAGGGTTGTCGAATAACTAGGGTCGGACTGTATTTTGCATTGTTTATCATATATTGACTTTAGATAAAGTTTGTTTGTAATAAAAGTTTAAAACCGGAAGTGACAGACATATATTCCCATGTTAGAAAAATTATAGTTCATGATAACTTTATACCGCAGTATTTTTCGTAATCTAATTTGCATTCAAGTGCATATTATGGATCAATACTATGAGGAATTGGCTGAAAGTGATTCATTTTAGTTCAACATTTTAATGTTTGAACAAGTCACCAAAGCTCAAAAATGATGAAATTCTCTAAGACCAAACCATTGTGCATTATAAATTCCTAAAATAAATATTACAAAATATTAAAAATATTTTGTTTTAAAAATAATGTAAATAGTAAACAGAACTTACATTTTGTAATATCCAATATAAAAGTATAACTTAATTTTAACATAAATGTTAATGTATCTTTTAAAAGAATAACAATCCGATTCCATAACCTAGTCCGATATACCACTTGTTTAAAAGGTGTGTGTGCGTGTGTGGGGAGACCGAACGTTGGTTACAATAATGAATAACCATTGAAAAGGTGCCGAATAATAAACTTATTATCTAATTTACAATATATAAAGGAGTCAATCGTCATATTATAACTTGAATGAATTGCAAATAAAATGAACGACATTTCAGAGTTGCAGATTTGCACAAAACAAAAGGCCGTATAAGATCTAAACTTTGTAATTGTAATTTTATATGAAGTGTCCATATTAAACTGATCTTTCTGTATTTGGAGTTCGTGCTTTGATTAACAGTTGAGATAATATATATTGGAAATATCATCTAGACTGCTTTAAATATCAATAGACTGCTTTAAACAAAAGACCCGATTAGTTGATTGTATTACACTCTGAAAAAGACGCAAAGATCTTGTTTATGGTTTATAAATGAAATAGGATCTAATAGGACTTTACGTTATATTTTTCTTCTTTTTTTTTTCTTTAAAATTTATTATTTTTATCTTTTTATATATTTTTGTACTGTTTGTTTTTTTTCTACGTTTATTCTTTATTTTAAATCTGGGTCTTAAATGTTGTGTCCCAATTTGAAATAAACACATGTATAGATATCTTCACAGTGGTTGAAGTAACTGATTTTTAATGTTTTAATGCACATGTTAACTCATTTTTGGAAAATGGCAATGAACTTAGAAGTACATAATGTTTACAATACAGTTCTTCCTAAAAATCAGGGCATTATTTGGAAAACGTATTCAATAAAAAGGAAAATGTAAAAATAACATACTCTTCATTTACAAAAATAAAAACCTGCAAAAAATATGCTAAATGAATTTTATTTATAAAATATTTGATGGACAAGAGTTTTCAATAGCTTTTATTCCAAATTCATTTCGGGTACTAGATCTTTCCGATGTATAGAAAAATCACGCCACAGTGCGCAATTCACTCTGAAAAATGAAAGCAAAGAGAAACAATGTATATTCTTTCATCTTTGTAAATATGTATTTTCTGTTTGTTCTAGTTGAGGAGTAAAGACTTATTGCAAAAATAGTACCGTATTTTTTGAAGCGGGTTTAATCACTTTTCATCGACATTTACAACATAAAACATCTACTTATTCTTAAACATTATAATGTACAGTTTATAATTCTCTGAGAAATGTTTGGTTTTCTATATTTTGATAAAATCTCTTTACACGTTTACTGTCAAATATCAGTCATAGAGTATCTGATATATTAATCCTAACACTTTACTACTTTATCTGGAGACATGAGTGTAAAGTACTAAATAAATTCTTAAATTATTCAGTAAGATATGGTAGCATTTTTTAAAAAAAATAATAAGATATTCCAATAATTTTCGTAGCGATCCACACGACCATGCAATGATGGATTATTAACTTATTCACCATTTGATTATCAGGCAAGCAATATGGCTGATATTGCGACTGCAATACAGACAACTTTTATAAACTGATATTACATATATGTCGATTTTTAAGTCTCAACCAATAACATTCTAAACTATGTCGAAAAAAGAACTGATTTCAATTTCTTTTGTTTTTGTTACTGTTGATTTTGTTGTTTGCTGGGTTTTTGTTGTTGCTGTTGTTGTTGATGATGTTGTTGTTGTTGATTAAACTGCAAAATGACACTTTCAAAACTGGCTTTTGTTATTACAAACCATTGATATTTCTTAAAAAAATGAAAAGAAAAACGACAATTTTTTACTTAAATTACCTTTTTAACTGTCGCTTACTTGTTCATGTGTAAAAAGCATTGACAGCATATCAATATCAAGACACATTTAGATTCATTTGATAGTGTTGTTTTTCAAAGTTATACTCTAGCGGTTCTTTCGGCATTAAAACGAACACAATTAAACCGAACGCTTGGGGATTGGATTCCTGCAGTACAACTGTTAGAGTTATCATAACATTTCTTCAACATTCCTTCAACATTTTAAATGACATAACTGTAAGCATGTTAGATGCTTTAAAAAAACTCTTTTTTCATTTATTGCACATTACAAAAGCACATTTATACGATCATTCACATTGACATACAACATTTAGAAAACATAACGTATGTTAAAAATTGTTCTTAAACAGTATTTAAGATAAAGGTAAACTATTTTGGTGGGAACTGTCTTTGTGGTTCAGATGAAGTTCATTTAGTTACGCTATACATTGTCATTTAAAAAAAAAAACCTTACGCACAATTAATAGCAAATGCAATAAGATTGTTGATGAATCCATGTTTAACGCTCTTTCTTTGGGGCTAGGCTTTTTTCTAACTTTTTAAACACAAACAAAATTTAATCGTCGAAATGTTAAAACCGTTAAAATATTCTGATTTCCCAACAAACGTCGAAAATGTGGCTTTGTCATTTTATATCAATAATCTAAAATTTGCCTACAGTAACAGTATATAGCATGTGCTTGATACAGACAAATCGCAAATTTAGCATTTTTAGTCGGGAAAAGGTTAATGATAAAGACCTCAGGTGCCTCCCTTTGCATTTTCTCAAACACAAACGGGTACCTGAGTAGAACCACCAACGTACTGTAAGCTAGAAGGAAAACTTACTCACGTGAAAACAATTCAAGCTTTCTGAGTGATATTCGAATCCTTAGCAGTGAGAATGCTTTGCAATCCAGAGCAAAATGCACATACATACTATGTGCTATTTATTAAGAACGCTACGTGATGAAAGGGTTAACCTGCGTGTCCTCTGTGTAAAACTAACTATTTTTGAGCATTATATCAAGGGATTGGGATAGATTGACCTCTGAGTCGTTATCAAACTTATCTCTGATATGCAGCCTAATAACCTCTGATCCCCTTTCAAAATTCCATTTTATTTAGTTTCGCCCATTGTTTCCTCGTTTAGCGTGCACGCAATTTGCCGCTTGTCATGGAATAGCACTTAAGTATCACATTACATTGAAGGTTCCATGATAACCGCTATAAGAAAGCTTCTGTGGATGTTTTTAAATTCAACATTTTAACATTTTCGTGTTTAAAATGTTGAATTCTGCTTACGCTGGTGCTAGAGGGCGTGGACGGTATCTTGCACTTTCCATTACCGTTCATGAACAGGCTCAATCAAAACGAGCCTGCAACATTTTCAATTTTGTTGTTTTGGGTGTTCTTTAGGGATTCCGTTTTTTTTTTATCTTACTTAACCGTTTACCACATGAGCATGTGAAAAATGGCCGTTTTCATTGAAAAGCCTCCTGTTACAAGTTAAAATTCTATGAAACTCTGAAAAATGCTTCAATACTGATGAAACTAGGCACAAATGCTGACTGCACCATAACCTCTGTAACAGCATGCTCAATCTTTAATTTTTCTGTTACCATGGCAACGGGGAACGTCACAAAATTGCCAAAAATCACTATTCTCCACTGTGCTGCAACTTCTTAATGGTTTGAGATAGAGTCAAAGGCATTTCAGCGTTGTTTAAAAGGTACCTTATGATCGACCTGGAGTCATTTTCATCCTCTCAAAAAGTCCAAAATTTTCTTGGGGATGAGGGGAACTGCCGTCCCCCTTCAAACCCCCAAAACAGAAGGGGACACATCCCCCTTCTGGCAACCCCCTGATATACCTTTATGATAGGCGACGGCGTCGAAAAAGTGATCACTTTTTTAACAGCTTTTCTCGAACGAAAAACGGTGTTTGGGGCCTAAATAGGGCATTTTTTTACTGTTTTAGGCTTCAAAGGGTGGATGAAAAGCCATCAAAACACGCTTATATGAGGGAAAAGGTTAAGCTAATAGTACGATGTTGTGTTAGTAGGAAATCGGTCTCATACAGAAATCTTTCTGCTTTTGATGTCACATGAAAGTCGTTTCCAGATATTTGATAAATAGAACGACCTCATGCTCGGTCGATATTTATAATTCTCTGTCTCCATTTTGAAACTGATGGCTTGAAGTGATGTCAGCTAACTGTTCAGCATTTGGTCATAAATCGTACATATCTTGTACATTATTACTTGAATCTTTAACATTTTTACTTATCCTAAATCTTAGTACATTTTTCACAAGTTTGATTTTATTGAATTATTTTGGCTCATATGAACTACATATATTGCATTGAGGTCATATGAAATGAGGAGTATATAGATACGTCGTGAAGTTTGCGTTCTTACATTTAATTATTGTCAGAGGTCGAATCCCTTATCTTCTATTAACCATAGTGACTTATCATGCATCGTGTGCTAAACGAGTATTGTAATTTATAAACTTTGGCGTCTCAAACAGTCGCAAAAATGTGTGTACGTTCATTCTGTGTAATATATTTGATTTGTTTTTACGGTTCTAAAGCTTTGTCGATTGAGGAAAGGTTAGTGAAAGTAGAACAAACATTGGAGCATCAAGAGGTCACACTCAAGCATCAAGAGAAAACAATCCAGGACCAGGAAACCATCGTTAAAAATCACGAGAAAGAAAATCAAGACTTGAAACTTCGATTGGAAATGCTTGAAAACGAAAGAGATAAAGTTAAAGAATGTTACACTACCGATGACTTAGATCAAAAAGACATGAAGACAGCAGGCGACAATCAATCCACCTTATCCCACCTGAACGGAGTGATTAAGCGTAAGTTCAACAAATTTGGCTTAATAAGTGGAAATATATTTAAAGATAATGTGAGGCTCTGTCAAATACCACTATCTTTTCTTGAGATTTAAACAGATATTAGAAATATTAGAATAGATGTTCCGTAGCTATTACAAAATAAAATCGTACTGTCTATCCCTTTTTTCAGAATGATAAAATGTTACATATTTCTAACAGATCTGCTTTTTATGAAAATGGGCTATGGAATAGAAGAGTTTTTTACAAATTGATTATAAGTTTGTTTGTTTTGTGTGTTTTTAGAACAATCGGGAGGAATTGCATTTCATGCCTATATGACTGGCAGCAAATGTGTCCAGGACAAAGAGCTGGTTGTGTTTGATACAGTGGCAATAGACGATGGTGATGGTTACTATCCAGAGGACGGGATATATGTCGTGCCTGAAAACGGAACTTACATGTTCATCTGGACTTTGTTTTCGACGAAAGGGGAATGGTCCGTATCTGATATAATTGTTGACGGCAAAACAAAGGGATGGATTGCAACAGATGATGAAAACGACCAAGCAACTGGAGTAATCATTGTACAAGTGAGCGTGGGTATCCATGTTTTTATTGAAAAAAGGACTGGAGATGGCTGCATCGTACAAGATGAGTTTTCTCGATCAACATTTACAGGATGGAAACTGTATTGATAATATTTGATATCAGTGTACTGTTCTTGAATTTCTAGCCAAAAAAATATTTTCGGAAATTTATAAAAACATATATGAAAATCAGAATTAAATAGGTCGAAAAACATTTCTACATGGTTAATATGTTTGTTGTTTATTTGACTTTTTTCAAAAGCGTTTCATCAATAGCTATAGCAAACACATTTATTTGTATGTTATGTAAAAAGAAAAAGACCTATAATTATATACTACTATTTTATATCTAAGGTCAAAAAGGAATGTATGAAAGCTTTAAAGACGTTGACTAGCACAATCAAATTTAGTGAAGGAGACTCGAATTCTGACAGGAAATTTAGATTATTTCATGTGATGAAGTTATCCATCTAGCTTACGAAAAGCCGATGGTTCTACTCAGGTGTCTTTTCGTGCCTGAAATAATGCACGGAAGGGCATATGATGAATTCACCCATCAGTAAAGCTGACAAGTCGCCATGTAACCTATACTGTGTTGGTGCGACTTAAAACTTAAATGTTGCAGGCTCGAGTTGATTGAGCCTATTCATGAAAGGCATAGGCAAATGCAAGCCACCGATCACCCCCCCCCCCCAGCACTGGTCCAAGCGGAGCTCAACATTTAAACATAAAAATGGTTAAATTTTGAATTTAGAAACATTCACAGTTGTGTTCGTACGGCGGTTATGGAGCCTTTCCATGTAACACTTCCGTGCCATTCCAGGAAAAGCAGCGTATGGTCCCAAAGTAAAAGAATGCGTGTCAATAAACAGAAAAATAATGGGCGGAACTAAGTAAAATGGAGTTTTGAAAAGGAAACAGAGGTTATGAATCCTGCATATCTCAGATAATCTGGCAATTTACCTACCACAAACTTACTTCGCTCAACTCACTCAAATGGGATTAAGGTCGTTGACTTCAAGTTTCATGACCCTAACCGCTGTGGGATCAAATTCTGACAGGAAATTTAGATTATTTATTGTGATGAAGTTATCCATCTAGCTTACGAAACGCCGATGGTTCTATTCAGGGGCCTGTTTGTGCCTGAAATAATGCACGGAAGGGCATATGAGGTATTCACCCATCAGTAAAGCTGGAAAGTCGCCATATAACCTATACAGTGTTGGTGCGACTTAAAACTTAAATTAAAAAATGTGTTTCGTTGAAAACGTCAGTTCTGAATCACATAACTTGGCAATGATTTTCGTTGGATCTTTAAAATGTACACTTCATGGAATTTCTAAATGGCCACTATATAATATTTGATACTTTGTGAACTGATGTAAAGTATGGCAATTTTATTATTGTACACACTCAGTAACCTATTTTAAATAAAAGAAAATATATACGCGCGCTCAAAAATATCCATGCGGAACGACGGGTCAAAAAGTAGTAAATGCGCCTGCGTTTCTCGTGCACGGCATGGTATTTGGTAAAAATGCGTTCTTTGTTAATTATCTTTTATGAAAAACATAAAACATTCGAAAATAGAGCTTTACAAAATGCCCATGAATATTCCGGTTAATTCTTGCCTGCGTTTGGTTTGTTTCGTAGGCTTCGTTGTTATAGTCGAATTATATGTTTTATTTATTGATTTATGTTGAGAAAACATTGACGTAATTATGTTGTTTATCATCCAGTAGATAATCTATGCGGAACAAAGATTATAAATAATAACAGTACACGTGTGGTCAGCTATTAACCTTTGTAATATCAGGCACGGACCCATTGTGGCCTCAGGTTTGTGCCAAAGGCCCTTCATTTGTCATAATTACAGGATGTTAATATGCAGTCTCCCTTTCCAGAACAGTATTTTCGAAAAAACATTAGACGTATAAAAATAAAAGCAATATGCCTTTCTGTAATCTCCGCAACGTTTTGAGAATCATTGAAACAAAATCAAATATGACATTGTATCATTTTGCAGTTGTTTTTTGTTTTTGTTTTTTTTTTGTTTAAAGCATGTTACTTACTTTGTTATGCCTGTAACAATCAAAAAGAAACAAAAACAGAATCTCCGAAGAATGCCCAAAACGACAAAATAGAAAATGTTGCAGGCTCGGTTTAATTGAGCCTGTTCATCAAAAGGCACAGGATAATGCAAGCCACCGATCACCCCCAGAACTCAAGATTTAAACATAAAAATAGTTTAATTTTAAAGATGTATTCATACGGTGGTTATGAAGCCTTCAATGAAACACTTCCGTGCTATTCCAGGGAAAGCAGCATATGGTCCCAAATAAAAAGGATGCGTGGCACTAAACAGAAAAACAATGAGCAGAACTAAGTAAAATGAAATTTTGAAAAGGAATCAGAGGTTATAAATCCTGCATATCACAGATAAGACGTTAAAAGACAAATTTAAAAAGCAGACAACATATCCTGAGGGTGATTCAACAATATTCAATTAGGAATATTGGAAACTGGAAAGAGGATTTTTTTTACTTTTATCGAATATTTTGTTCTGAATATTCAAAGTAACAAGTTATCAGTTTAAATATTTGTTGTAAGCATATTAATCTTATCTTTATCATTTAATGTAGATAATATGATATATTCGAACAATTCTGAACTGGTTTTCTGCCAATCCAATTCATAATCTAGGTAATATTATGGTAAGATAATATGTTCTGATAATTTAGAAATCATCTTATGTTTTTTTATCGATTTATCACCTTACATATAGAAGCAAGAACATACATGAACTTATTATTTGTTATATATAAGAACATAGTCCAGGGGAAAAAATGAAACAAGTTATCTGTATTCCAATTTAATCTAAAAGGCTTACTTTATTAACGTATTTTTTTCAAATATATCAAATTCTTGTATCAGAAACATCCATATCATAAATAAATAAAGCGCAAAATACCAAAAGAAGAAGCGGTAAACCTATTAGAATGGAAAAAAACCAATCCTTTTTCCGTAGGAAAGCCGTTTAATACTCATTAACAGTTTTACTTACTGCATAATACATATTTTCAGCAATTTTCGTCCACTTTACTTATTATAATTGATTAAGAAATGCTTTATTCTACCAGTGTCATGAAAATAACACATTGTGTCCTTGCATAAAACGTTTTAAACCTTTTTGTGGTAATTGGTAACAAAATACAGTCAAGAAGCATGCGTTTTGTTATTGAGTCAAACACGTAAATGGGACAAACAGTTACACTATCTGTGCTCTAAGAGAAACTTATATTCAGAACAAGAAAAGTGAATAGGGTATGCTTATTTCCATATTTATCACAAAATGACGACAAATCTAACCTTTAAATCCATATGTATAAAATGATCATTATATTTTTAAATTAGCTACAAATCAGTTGGCTTTTTCTATGTAATATAATGGGTTTACATTTATTCAATCAGAGTTCTTTCAACAATTTGGCAGATATTTATTACATGTATAGAACAAAGGTAGTATCCAGTCAATCACATAAAGAGATTATTCGACTTCTTTTCGACTAATATATCAAATACATGATTTTTTCTGAACAATCAAAATAACCAGTTATTAGATTAAATCATTTTAGTAACTGTCGATTCAAATATAATCGAGAATGGGAAATCTTAAATTTAAAAGTACATTGGGGTGGCAGGAAAAAAGCCATATACAAAAACTCATGGACAGAATATTATCTACCCTGATAGTGCAGTGGTTATATTACTTGTTTTTCATGCGGAAGGTCTAAGTTCAAATCCCACAAGGGGTAATACTTTTATCAGGCCTTTTGTTTTTTATAAATATTTTTTTACTTTCTATTTTATTTATTTTATATTTACATTTTTATACATGTATATATAATGTCCATGTTTTTATTTAAAGGAATGCTATAGCATGTATAATAAGTTATAATTCAATTCAATTAAACAATTAAAACAATGCCTTAAACCTCTGTGGCACTCTCAGTCACGCTGGCGCTGGCATGTTCGTCTCCACTGTCAAGCGTGTACCTCAATATATTAATACCACGGAGAAATGGATGGCGAGGTGTTAACCAAGTGGCTTAATCAAAAGCTCATCCCAAATTTTTCAGCTTATCCTAAATTTTCCAGCACACATTGCCGTGGTAAAATACAACGTACCTTATAACACCATTTGTGATGACAAACGAAATCAGGGCCTTTTAAATAGTATTCAATTAGTTGAAAGATCCTAGAGAAGTCAAGTAAAAAATGCGTCCTTCTAACAGCGCCATAACATGCACCTCAACCAAACAGCCCAGGACTCGCGTGCTCTCAATAAGTAGATGATTTTCGTTGTAAGCCCAAAAGCTCAAATTGAATACCTGTGTATTAAAAAAAGATTTTTTTTTCATTGAGAAAATATATTATTGATAAAAAAATGAAAATGCTAGGATTTGAACCCGCACCTGTATAGTTGATAGACAAGCGCGCTACCATTAACCTAAAAGGTCACATTGCAAACAGTATGCCAAATAATTATTACAATACTATCCAAACACACATGACTTACCTTTTCTGAAGTGCATTGATCAATGCTATGTTTACAACGGTTCCGAAATAAACAAACTTCAACAGTATCTGCATTTTAATTATTATCTTTATTATTTAATGTGCCTGATATATTCAAACAATTCTGAACTGCTTTTGTGCCAATGTAATTCATAATCTATGTAATCAAATGGTAAAATAATATGTTCTTATAATTTCTCAATTTTCTTTAAACCATTTATCACCTTATATATTGAAGCAAGAACATCCTTTTACTTATTGTTATGTATAAGAAAATAGACCAGGAAAACCATAAAACAAGGTATCTGTATTTTAATTTAATCTAAAAGGCTTACTTTATTTCCAACATACATATATTAAATTTGCAATCAACAACAAATGTTTCGTGTAGTGAAAATCTAATACTTCAAAGTAATACATCACTTACTAAATGAAGAAAATGTAGTTCAGGAAGAATCTGTCATATAATAGCACGTTTCTGTAAGAAAAACAACCAATTAATACTTTTTACTGGATATTTCCAATTGTTTTTGTCGATTTCCTGCATGGCTTGACAGTGAAATAAAGTTTAAAGATCAATCTGCTTCATGAATTGCAAAACATTCTGTTAGAAAAATATTGGTAATAAGAACAAGTAG